TCCCAAAGCCAGAACCTATTCTTAGATCTGCCATTCATTCATTAATTCAATAAACATTTCCTGAACACTTACTGTAAGAATAAGTTGGTGAAAAAAATGGCCACATTCTCTGCCCTAAAGAAGCTCACAGGCTATACGGCATCTGGGCCACTAAACAGGCAATCAAAGTATAATGAGTGCCATGATGAGAGAATCCCAGGGCATTAGGGGAGCATATGGGTGAAACCCCCTTAATTCAGCCTTGGCTGGTTAAAGAAGGTTTCTTTGGAGAAAGTCATGTCACTGAAGAAGCAGAAGTCAGCTTGATGTTGGAAGAGGTGGAAGGAGAAGGAATGTTCTAGGAAGAAGTAGGACTGCAAGTTATTTGAAATTTCTTCTTTGTCCTTAGCAGTGTTTTACAAATAGTCTTCATTGGACATACATTACACATATATAGAAAGAATTTTAAAATATGAAGGATAGTAATTGCCCTCCCTTAATCAGTGAGCATCAGTGAGAACTTCCTTAGGTCTGGTACACACTGACGGGGAAAGAAAGGAACACTGCAATTACGACTCCTAATAAGGGTAATGGAGTATTTGTTGAAGGCTTACTACATGTCAGCATTTTCCACGTACCTCAATCTAATCCTCACGATTATTCTATGTGATAGGTATACTATTATCTCCATTTTATGGATGAGGTAACTGAGGCTCAGAGGTCCCCCAATTAGTCTGTGGTTGAGGCAGGAAAGCAAATCAAGGTAGTCCAATGCTACAGCCCTGGCTCTTAACTACCACACTATACTGACCCTCTTTAAATGATTAAAGTGACACACACAAGAGACCAACTAGTGTTTTAACTTTGTCCTGTCCTAAGAAGCAACTTCAAACCATCAGTTGACTATGTCCCTGTCTCCTCCAAGCCAGGGGTTGGGGGATGGGAGGTGTATACAGGAGGAGAGTCTTCATTTGTGTGCGGAGAGGGAGATCAGCTGCACAAAGAGCATGGACTTTCTCAGGATTGCATGATAATGTGATGGCTGAATGGGTTCCAGAAACCCACTTCAGCCTCACAACCACTGGACCCCACTTTACTCTGGCCACACCAGCAATACTTATCTTGTGGCAAGTTGCCAATTCTCAAAACAGCAACAGAAGTCTAAATGGCTCATTAAAATTCCCTTATATTAATGATGCTGTTTTTGATGCAGTTCCTACGTTAACTACATGGCGATGCTGCAGACATATCTAGAGATTTGTTTGGGTAGTAGGGGTTTAAGAATATTTGTATTTTTATAAATTATGGTAGTGCTACACAGTTAAAGGGTTTGCAGCCACTTAAAAGGATGAGGTTAAGTTATGTTACTTTTAGGAAACATCTTGAAAATATGCCACTAAATGAGAAAAGCAAGTCATTAAATATCTAAAGCATGTGCATATCTGTCGAATTAAAAAAAAGGGATATAAATACACATGCAGGTACATGCATAATTTTTCCTGAGAGTATTAGAAAACAGCCTGTTAACAGTTATCACTTTGAAGAGTGGGATTGGGGTCCAGGGGAGGGAAAGGATGCTTCCTTTTGGTCTCATACCTTTTAAGATTATTTGATTTTTTAATGATTTGCATTCATTAATTTAAAAATCATCATTACAAAAACAATCAACTGCTGTAAAAATTTAAATAATGCAGAAGTTAACAAAAGTTCCTTTTCGCTGACCTCTTAATCTCATTCCCCAGGACAGGTAACCACGGATATGAGTTTAGTACCTCATTACTCAGAGTGTGGTTTCCAGAACAGCAGCAGCAGGATCATCTGGGAAGTTGCTACAAATGCAAATTCCCCTGTCCCACACCAGACCTGCTCAAACTCCATAGTGGGGCCCAGTAATCTGGGTTTTCAAAGGCCCTTTTGACGGTTTTGATGCATGCTCAAAATTGAGAACACTTCGTTTTAGCAGGTTAGACCAGATGCTTTGGGGGGAAGTCAGGAAGAATCCTGCTGGGGGAAACTAATAACTCAACATGGCACATCTCCATGTACCCAGAGAGCTCTAGCTGGAGAGCTGGCTGCCCCTTGAGTCCACTGTGACCTCTCTGTTGGGACTGACCGATGACCATACTGTCACAGTTTGGAGGCATTATCTAGACTTTTCTATGCTAGAGAGAGAAAGGAAAAAGGAGTGCGGGAGAAACTTAATGGAGGATGAAGAGGGAAAGGAAAAATGGCAGAAAATCATATGATGGTAAGTAGATGACACTAATACCTCAGGACCACCAGTCATTTATAAATGATAAACATTTATCATTTTCTCTGTTCTAAATCTCTGTATCTTTATGTCCATTTCCTTCCTCTGACCTCCACACACATTTCATTGTCTGTCATTTACCGAATCTGATAGGGTAATTATTTCTCATACCGTTCAGTGTGTTCATATTTAGAGAAGTGTTTGCCAGTGATTCCTTGCTCCTCAGCCAAAAAGTTATGAGTTCTCAAGAAGCTGCTCAAGAGTCATCATCTATCTTTGGCGGCAGGGGACTGGAGGCAGGCAGGTGTGGGCTTCGCTGAGGAGCTTTGTGCCCCGGGGAGGTAGGAGGTATGGTGGGAGGGGAAGTGAGTCTAAGAGCACTCTGGATACAGTCATATCAACATTCAAGTCACCAGCTGTGAAGCTCAGGTGGGAGGGGAGAGGATGTCACGGAGTTGCTCAAACATCTACTCTGTCCCACCCGCAGATCTGCCTTTCTTACAGAAGAGCCTGGAGCAAGCTCTTTTAAATGGGCTGGGGGCACGGGAGACCGTGCATCCAAAGGGCAGTAATCATTACAGTGTTTCACGTGAAACAGTTGTGAGTATGGAAGCTCAGACCAAAAATTTAAGAATGTTTAGCCTGTTTATTGTAACAAAATGCCCACCATTTACCTGCCACTTCTAAAACATTGTTCTTTCTCAGAAAGGTGCTTGTCCCAGTCAAGAAACTAGAATTTGTTTTTGAAACGGCTGCGATGGGGAGATTTAGCTTCCAAGGCTGCTCATATCTCACTGTGTTCCAGTTTTTTATTTGATGACACCTACAAGAGGTTAAAGGGCAACAACTTATGAAACCAGACATTTGACTAATTGTGACAGTTTGTTTCTTTATATTTTAAATAAATGAGCATTCACTCTTACAGAATCCTAGAATTGTAAATCCTAGAATGGGGCTACCTTGGAGATCATCTCTGGCCCATTACTATGGGCTTGGGGAGTTTTGAGAGAAAATACAGTGCCCAGGCCCCACTCCATACCAACTGAATCAGAATCTCAAGGGGTAGGACCAAGGGGACTCTCTAGTTTTAAAGCCCCACAAGTGATTCCAGTGCAGTGGGATTAGGAAACAGCTGTAGTCTTGTTATTTTATTTAGTGGATAAAGATACAGCCTCTCAAAGAGATGAAGTGATTTGCCCAAGGTCATGCTGCCAGTAAGTGGTATCTCACACCCAAGTCTTCTGACTGCCAATCCAATGTTTTTTCCACTATGCTCTTCTGTTTCTTCTTCTAAAACTTAGGGTTTTGCCAAACATTAAATTTATGCAGTTTACAGTTGAGGGACAAGAGACAGTGTCCATCAGTAAGGATGGGTGGGGCAACATCTAAGGGCTCAACTCAGTCAAGGGTTTTCCAGCACAAAGCTCCTGCCCAGTCTTACTGCTGGTGGGGCAGCCAAATGAAATTTTGCTAAAAGCAATGCCTAACACTGTAGTGTCTATTAGTTCCTTGAAGAGCAAGTTAGTTGCTCCTGACTCAGTTTCACCCATGACAGAAGACACTCACCCATAAATGTTCTTTCAGGGATTAATCACATTAGATAAAATGATAGTGGGGGTAGACCAGTGGTTCTTAATATTTGAGCAAGGTGGGGTGTTGGCATGAGGAGTCACAAGATCCTGTTTGAGAACTAGTAAAAGCTATAAGCTTCCTCAGAAAAATACACATACATAAATGTTGTATGTAAATTTGGGGATTCACAGATACTGCCCCTTGCCCCTCTTCCACTTTCCAGTTCATCCATTGACACCACATTAAGATCTCCTGCACTAGAAGCTTCTGAAGCTCTTTTAGTATTTGTTAAAGTGTGGTCCAGGGACCATAGAAATCAGAATCACTTGCTGTGCTTGGTAAAAAAATTCCTAGGACTGCTACAGACCTACTGTTTCAGAATCTCTGGAGAATGAAGTACAGAAATCTGTATGATATTAAAAATTCCCAGATGATTCTGTTGGAAATAGGCATTTCAGAATCAGTGTTTTATCTCAACTTGAGATTTTTATAGTTTTTGAATGTTTTCATTTCTTGAATATTTAGGCTTTACCTGTTCTACTGTCAAGTATACCAAATAGTATGTATAGTATGAACTCATTAAAGAATATTCATATATATGTACTCATAAGAAAAGCAACTGGAAGAAGAGAGAACTTTGTCGGTAGTGGGAATATGGATAATCTTTGTTTTCCCTTTATCTTTCTATTTTATTTCTCATTTTCTTTCTTTCTGCATTTAAAGAAAATTCTTCCTCTTTCTCAGTTCAGTTTCTCCATTTGAAAAACAGGGTGTTGTAACTAGGTGAATTTCTAGGCCATGACCTTCTCGGGGGGTCCGTGACTCCATACTACCCTTAGCTCCCTTGTTCATTTAATAGTATGAACTGCATAGGTAACAACAGTGCTTGGAGAATAATCATGTATTATTTTTGTATGTATTAGTTGTGATGCCTAGCAACTGTTTTTACTTCAGCAAAATTATTCTTTTCGTCCTCAGAAAGTCGGAACTGAAATCATCTCTACTACCTACAGCCCCCAAAAGTTCACCCTCTCTCTCTCTTTAGCCTTAGAAAGAGCCGACCGCGTACATCCCTTAAGAGCCTAAGAATGATGGTGAACCAAAAGGCCAGGGCGTGGTCGCCCCGCCCACCGGCTTAACATCACAACCCCTCGCGTAGCTTTCAAGCGCGGAGATTGGCTGAAAACAAGAAAGAGCTCCGCCCCTGATCTTATGACCCGAGCTGAAGCGGCGAGTCCGGGATTTTGCAGCGTTGTGGTCGGTGGTCCACTCAACTGTACCCCCAATTCCAGCGAGTCTCTAACGTAGTGTTGCCGCTCCTGTGGCCGCCGCCGCCTCCTGCTCTGCGGCGTCATGGTGTGCTTCCGCCTCTCCCCGGTTCCGGGCTCGGGGCTCGTTCTGCTCTGTCTCGTTCTGGGTGAGTTGTCGGGCCCTTCTGTTTCGTCCTTCACCCTGGGCCCGGGGTCCGCAGTTCAGCGGTCACAACCTGAAAGACTGGTCCCGGCGCGGGGTGGGGGAATGTTTCAGAAGCTGAACAGCTGACACTGGGCGGCGGCACTTGGCACGGGGAGGCGAGCGGTGACCTAGAGAAGGCCTGAGCGAGGGATGGCAGGGAAGGAAGGGCCCGCGAGAAAGGCGCAAGTAAGCGGGTGGACACCGAGGGAGTAGGTAGGGAAGAGTGAGGAGTGGAGCAGATCGGGTAGAAAGAGTAACTTGAGAAAGATACCAAGGAGTGAGCTCTGGAGGACGCTATGTGCAATTCTGGGGTGTCAGACAATTGGGAGAGTCCCGGTTTTCTGGAATGCGGGGAGAGTTTTGAAGATGGTGGAAAACTAGAGTGAGAGAGAAAATTGAGGAGGGAAGAGACTGTGCCTGCTGGAGGTCTGGAGTGGGGAGGCACTTATGACAGAGTCTGAGGGGCAGTGAGAGGGTTGGGAGTGTTTGTGGGTTGGAATTTGAGGCTGTGGAGGAAGAGTGATTACAGAGATGAGCAGTGATGCTGGATTTGAGTTGGAATTTTGACGGGGAAGGGACCTCCAGGTGAGGAATCTCGGACCCAACCTCTGGAGACTAAAGGGCTGAGCGGGGACTTTGGTGGGGAGTGAATATATCTGACTTGGAGGTGTTGAAGATGTCGGTTTTCCACCAGTTTTGACACTTCCTCCCAGCCAGACTGACCAAAAAAAAAAAAAAAAATCCCCAGCTGTTTCAGTTGGAAGGGCCTCCCAGATGTGAGGTTTCAGTGTGGTGTATTTGATTCTTGTATGCTGCCTCTTTGCCTTTGGAAGCTATTTTTCTTCCCTATCATAACAACTGGCATATTATCTTGTTTTGGGAAGAGGAGGGTAGGTAATTTCCTAAGGATGGGGTGGTTACCAGGTTCTAAGAATGGTTGAATGGTTGGATAGCTGTTGGCTGATTGTGCTCTGCCCCCACCCAATAAGCGGCAGGTCTCTGATGGCTTTAATGCCTGAAAGGTGATCTTTGACCTGAATGTCTCTTCCTGACCTGATTCATGCTGATTGTTGCTATCCGCTGCCTCTTGCTCTTTGTGACCTAATAAAAGAAGAAGCAGACCCAGTGGTACTGGAGAGGAAATAGATACATTAGGGGCCTGAAAAGGCAGTGAGAGGTACATATTTTGGAATTCACGTTTCTGTAGAATAAAATCAACACCCTAAAACGGTGATTCTCAACCAGGAAACATTGGGCAATATCTGGAGACATTTCTGGTTGGCACAACTGTGGACTGCTTTTGGCATCTAGTGGGTCAAAGCCAGAGATGCTTCTAAACATCCTAGAATGCACAGGACAGCCCCCCTCCAACAAAGAATTATTCACTTCAGAATGTCAGTAGTGCTAAAATTGAGAAATCTTGCTCCAGAGCCATATCTTTGTAAAGGTTCTTGATGATTTAACCTAGTGATTCCTAATGATCTTTTCTGGAGGGTCTGTCAGATTAAAACTTTTGCCAGAATAATACTAAAAAGTTGTCCTTTTCCCTCTCATCCTCTCATCAGTGTGCAGTGGAGCTTTCCAGAGGCTACATAATGTGTGACGACATCACGGCTGTGATGACTCCCATGTGGTTTATTCACTTCTCAGTTTTAATTTCTAATATGGCAAATACCAATCGGTATAACTCACATAAACCAAAGCTCCTTGAGGTCCTCAGTGGATATAAGACTAAAGGGGTCTTGACACCGAAATGTTTGAGAATCCCCAATCTAGTCCTGCTGTCACACGGTGCAGGAAACTCTTCTGTAGCCCTTCCGAAAGGGGGCCATGGCAGCCTTGCTCAAACACAGTTTGAAGGTTTAATATTGCTGTGAAGCACTGAGTAAGGGCCAAGTAACCCTAAGAGAGGATTGTTTACAAGGAAAAGCCCCCTCATCTGACCAAGGCATCTGTTAATCAGTAGTTCACTGCCAGTTGAATCTGCACAAACACGACACTTACTGTTTAGAGAAAGTGAAAAAACAAAGTTGTCTTACTTGTTGGCTTTCATGTCATTAATTTTTTTTTTTCCTAATGAAAGCTTTTTTGTTTTGGTTTGTTTGGTTTGAGTTTGGTTTTCCCATCGCAGAAAATAAGCAGGCAAAAAGAAGTGCATAAAAGAACCCATCAGCTCATCTGCTAGTTTGCCATTTATTGATTGGGACTAACTAGATTCATCCTCTTGGAAGATGTCCAAGATTGATTCCCCACAGTTCCAAGTTCAGAACAGGATTAAGAGGAGTAAAAGTTAATGTACCTAGATGAGATTCTTAAAAGGTACCAGGAAGAAGCAGAAATTACTTCTTCTGTACTGCTGCTTTTTCTGGCAGCTATTATTTCATTGTGGAGCTTGCTCTTCCATGTGGTTTTCTCTCAAGAATTTAGCAAGTGGTCAGTTGCGTGGGTTTTGCACATTACTTTCATGAATCAAAATGGATGCCAAGGATAGGGTTTTGGAAACTCAATACATATTTGTAAAGTACCTGTTAAGAATCTCACGCTGTTCCTGGCTACTGCAGAGGGTGCCAGTGAAGGAGGATCTGTCCTGAATTTTTAGCTTCATTAGCATTAGTGCTCTAGCTGTGCCCGTTTTACTTTGTAAGTTTATAACTCTATCCCAGCTCCACTGGTAGCTTTTTAAAAATAGCTGCTTTAGAGTAAGTATAGGAAAGAATTGTTAGTCCATGTATTAGTCTTTTTCAGAGATTAAATTATGCTGATATTTATTGGAATTAATTATAACTGACTAGAGAACTTCCTGAAAAAGAGGTATATGATTTCCCTGAAGAAAAGCTTTGCAGAGGCATCATGAAGTGTAGTGAATAAAAATCGTTTCCTAGCATCATTGTCTGTGTTCTCTTTGTGACACTGTGGACTGCCGAATTCTGTGGTTGTTGATTCTTCCAACTGGTTTGACTTCTGGCTTTTATAGGGTTGAGGCTTTTCTGGATGGGAAAAAACCTCATATAAATATCCTGAATATGTACCTCACTGGTAGGAGCTCTTACCTCGCCACAAATGTTTATTGAATGCCTGTCATGTACGCAGGCACTGAACCAAGTGAAAGGGACAGATAGAGCAGGGGACAAAGCAGATGAGGTCCCTGCTGTCCTGGAACTTAACGTTCAGTGGGAGAAGACAGCCCAACAGATAAATAATAGATTTTCAGATACTGAGAAGCACTCTGAGGAAAATGGAACCAGTCATGAGGAAAACGAATGAACAGGTAATAGGAGTGGGTGATGAGAAATGAGCCGCCTTTGTGTTTTATGATCAGAAGGCTGTCCGTTTTTGGAGAACATTTGATCAGAGACCTTAATGTCAAACGGTGGCTGGCCAGGTGACCATCTGGATGTATAGGAGTAAATCTGTCTTTCCCAGACTGAGGTTCCACTGTTTTTTCCTAGCAGTTCTAGTCAAGTCTCCCCTATGGTATTAGTTTCTAAGGACAGAGACTATCCTGGGTACTGTTACTTCTCATTGCCTGCCTGGCAAAGGGCCTTGACTGTGGTTAACCATAGTCAGATTTTTGTTGAAGGTGTTCATTGGTGGGCACTAGGATTGTGTTGGTGAACTAGACCAACTTGGTCTCCTTTTTCTTTTGTGAACCTTAAGTTATGTTTTGCAAGGTTTTTTGTGTTTTTGGATTGAGGATTTCAAGATCAATATTAAGCAGTACAGATTGTTATAAACCAATTTAAACCATTTATAAATATAATTTACAATTACAAACTGATTTAGAAAGAATTACCTATACAAAAATGCTAGTATCTTACCTGTACCCCTTCAGACATACCTGCAGAGTAGTGAAGGTTAACATGGAGACTAGAAAGTTCTTGGTGAGAAGGAGAGTAAAGGTTTCACAAAGAACCAATCTTTCCTTTGGAGGTAATCTAAGAGAGAAAGTAAGCACTGAGATTTTTCTGTAGTCTTACTATATTTTGTTAAACAGATAACTTTGGTTTCAAGATTCTGCTAAAATTCTTTGAACTAGAATAGAGATCCTTGAAAGGACAGGCTTATTATTCACCCATTAGTCGTTGGTTATCACACCTGGTAGGATTATAGATATTCAGATATTTCCCAGGAGTACAGCTTTCTTCCCCTATATTCTTGAGTGGAATTTATGGATTATGGATTATTTCACAGTGCTGTAGCTGACTTAAGTGGTACTTGGTACAGGAAGACCACTCTTCCTCCTATAGTGACAGAAGCACTCTGATCATAATTTCCTATTAAAGTGATCAGAGATCTTCTCAGATCCAAAAGTGTACTTTGTAAGTACTTGTTGGTATCCTGCTGCGTGTTACAAAAGAATTCTGGAGATCTGCCAAACACCACTCAGCAGTAAGCACTTTCCATTAGCAGAATAGTGTTGAATCTTACTTCCTTACCCACTCTCCAATCTTAAAACAATTTTGTAGCTCAAAACCATATTTTCATTTTTAAGAGATTTATCGGAAATCAAGAGTATCAGCAACTGGATGCAGCAATTGGGCCTGTATTAGGAATTGTAAATGAAGAACAGTTAATCTGACTTAACAAACCTATGAATGGAAAAGAGTTAATAGGAATTGTATGCTTGTGTCCTGCTTTATTAAAGACCCTTTGCTTGACATCATTTTGAATTAATGATTTGGAGGATAAGAGTCCATAACTTAATATTATGAAAGGAAACATATACCTACATTTTGGGAAGGATCCCCTTAGGTGCTGTAGTTTAGAAAAGAAGCCTGTAAGCTGGAATCTCTAACTTGCTTGGCAGAGTTCTCTTAACTCTGAAGGGCTCACATGCTTTCAAAGAACCTATTAGGAAAATACCACATTACAATTCTTAGCAAGGTTAACTTGACCAGAGTCTCACAGCTAGTAAATTGGACTGCCTGATCTGAATTCTGCCCCTTCCAGCTCCAGGGATAGAGCTCTTATTGGCCTGCCTCATGATATTGCCTCTTAGTTCAGTGTTTGTTTACTGGTTTAGACCACTAGTATTATGTTTCCACCCCACCCCATCTTATTTGCAAATGTGTATTTTTCAACAATACTTCGGGTCAAGTAGACTTACAAAAACCGAGCCACTTTGTGCAGTATTTCATGCTTGGAGAAATAAGATGAGAATTCTAAAAGAACCTGTAAGTGACCTTTCTGGAAACAAGATTGAGAGAATATTTGAATTAGAGAAAGTTGATATTGAGGTATGCTTTTTTCTTTTTGGAGAATAAACTCTCAGCTCTATAATTATACACTCTACGATATATTCAGCTGTGATTTGTTATAAAGCCATTTAAACAAATATGGATCAGCTATTCTAAGATCGAACACAGCAACAAGGATGAAAATGGGTTCTTGGAGACTTTACCAAAGTGTAAATGTTTCAACTAGGAACTTGCCTTATGGTAAAAGCATTATTCCTAGCTTGGAATCCATGTTAGAATTTTTTGAGGAGAAAACTGACATGGCAGTTAAGGGAGTGTCCAGAAGACTGTGAGGTCAGGTTCATGATTTGGAAGAGCTCAAAGGTTAGCCTCCCTGTATCTAGGTTAAGCTGTATTTCAGGTCCTTGTCACAGAGAAGTTTTACCTCGATATAATCAGTCAGTATTTATTGAGAATCTAATATGTATTCAGCACTGCTAGGAATGACAGGAGATAGAAGAAACGGTAATAGACACTCTCTGCTCCACGGTGATGCTCATGATGGATGACCTTCATATGAAAGACACACTCATGGGGGCTGTGGCATAGATAAGATCAGATGTTTAAGGGAGCACATTAGAATTTGAATGAGTGGCAGAGGCATTTTCAAAAGGGAATCTTGAATCTGTCTTTATATATCATTCATTCACAGATTCTGGTGCTTGTTTTATTAGTTAACAAATTACTTGCTGGGTACTAATACTATAATTTACCACGGTGCAGCAGTTTGGTGCAGTGACAGTTGAAAACTGCTGTTTTGACGTTTATGACAATAGGGGAGACAGGATTTATGGGCATAAAATAACTGAATAGTTCAGGGTAGTATAAAATATACTGAACTGTGGGGATAGGCGCCATGCTCCTCAATGAAATCTTTGTGGAGAAAATGGCTGCTGACAAATGGGTAGCATATCAATGCAGGCTTTAATTGTAAGCGATAGAAATAAAATCTGATCAGTTTTAAACAGAATTTATTAAAAAGATACCAGGACATCTGTATACCCTTTGATCCCAAGTTTTATTTCTAGCTAAACACACATGTGTTCACCAATGTGTCCATTTATATAGAACCAAACTGGAAACTATCCAAATGCCTATCAACAGTAGCATAGAGAAGAGGCGGAGTATTCACCCAACAACAGAAAGCTGTACATACAGGGTAAGAATGGACATCCTGCAATCACACACAGCAACCTAGGTGAATCTCACTAACCATACTGAGTGAAAGAAGGCAGACACAAAGAGCACAGTGAATGATTGCATTGATACCAAGTTGAAAAACAGGAAAAACCAATCTATACTGTTAGAAGTCAGGGTAGTGGTTGCCCTTGGGAGGGAAATAGTAACTGGAAGGGGAAACAGATAGGGGCTTTGGGAGTGATTGGAGTGTTCGGTTTCCTGACACATGTGGATTCAGTTTGTGGAATTTCCTTTGGCTGTACACTTAATGTTATGTGCACTTGTCATTTCTATATGTTATGTTGTGAGCTTTTCCGTATGTATGTTACACATCCATAAAATTTTACTTCATTAAAACATGTATATTGGGTAAGCAGGATTACTGGCTCTCCTAGCTGTATATCCCAATGCCTGGTTCCGTACCCCAGATCATACCAGTGACCTGCACGCCCACCACCAAGTGTTAAACTGCAGCCTTCACCCTTGGCCACTGCCAAGATCTCTGGTAGCCTTTTGCCTGGGTGCTTGATTCTGCTGTAACTACTTCCCCCTGAGGGTGATTGTTCCAGGCCAGGCCTGGCTCCATCTCGCCACCCTCTTCAAAACTGGGGTTGGATGCTTTAGTTAGGTAGAGCCTAGCACAAGTGCCCATCTTTGCTGCAGGAATCTGGGAAAGCAAGTATCTGGCATTTCCAGCTTTTATAATGGGAGGTAATATCTACCAGGGGTTATAGAAAAAGGCAGGGTGGGTGGTATTTCAGATTTGGGGCAGCCAAAAAGAGAGGGAAATTCTTCCTGAGGTGAACATTTAGGTCAGTAGAAGAAAGTAGATCTCATTGCTAGCAACAGAAGCAGCCTGGTCGTGGAGGTTGAATAGAGCCTGCCATTTGGGTCTGGCAGAACAGGTTCAGCCAGGTTAAAGGGTGTGTTCTGGGAAAATGGTTTGAGAGAATTTGAAGGAATAGGGTGGGACGATGAAGGAAGATGAAGGATTACTTTGAAAGTCAGCTGGAAGAATTTAAATTTAATAGGGGAATTTCAGTGTCAGTAAAAGCTGTGAACAAGTGTCCTGAGAGGAAGAGGTATTTAAGGACCATTAATCCGGCAGCTCTTCTCTGGGCAGTGAGGAGGCATCTGTGGTAATTTAGGGTTGGGGTGGTAGGTTGAGAGTAGAAATAAAAGGCAAATATTGGATTTAAGAGAGAATTTAAAGGGAAAAAATCAGTAGAACTTCCTGAAGAGAGGGAAGTAGTACCTAATTCCCAAACTTTGGAGCCTGAGTGACTGTACATGGTCCTGCATTCCTTCAGTCAGAGCTCGAGGCTGCTAAGGGGTCCAGTTAGGAGGAAGTAGAAGGATGAGTTTGAGTTTGGGAATTGTTGAGTTTGAGGTGATCGGTATTTGAGTGCAAGTGGGCTCTGTGCAGTTGGAGATGTAGACCGGGAAGCCTAAAAAACTCTGGGAAAGGAATAGCTCTCAAAGGGAGAAACGCTAGGAAGACACTAGAACAGAATGTGCTGGAACCCTCAGGGTATTTCTCAATTCTCATTTTTTTTTAGGTTGGCAGGTAGACTATCTTGAATTTAATGTACACCAGTAAATTTGAACCACAACCTGTGCCTTCTGCTTCATAAAGCTTCAGTTCTCCATCATTGGCACACACTAATACTATCACTATTTATGCTGTTTTCTTTCTGTTAACCTAATATCTTTGGAAAGGAAGTGATACTACATGTGAAGCTTTTTTGGGTTATTTCTAAGGTTTTTGAATGCTTTGAATTCAAGGAGAATATGTTAAAGCTAGAGATGTTAAAGCAAGACCGAGAGACAGAGCATATAGAAAGCAGGCCTCCAGCTGATTAGAAAAATTATAAGCTAGATTTCTCAGCACCACTGCAGCAGGATGGTAGGTAGCCTTGGATCAGTGATGACAGCTCCATTTCATACTGTGCTTGGGGAAGAATGGCTGTAAAACCTACCTAGGCCTCAGAAGGTCTTTTTGAGCTTTAGCCAATACATCTAGGTACTGTCAGTAGCCACAAGCTTTACCATAATATTCAGGATTGCAAGGCAGCCTGGTCTCTGGAACAGGATGATAGGTTTTTATGTACAACTTGAAAGCTGTTGCTGAGACATGCCTTCTTGGTAATTCCTCTTGGGACTTAATTCTGTATAGTCTATATAGCATGTTCATACTTGTAGATGACGCTTCATTGCTCAGAGAGCATTAAAAAAATATGCAGCTATCTTAACAGGAAACAGTTCACCCTGGGGTAATGTGTGAGACAGGAAAATCCTTAGGTGGTTGCCCGTCAGTTTATGCTGCTGGTGTGTTTGCTGGCATTTAGTATTTTGAGTCCTTGGGCTCTTCAGTTTAATAGGTAATATTCCTATGTTTAACCTAATATATGTGATCAGAATCAAGTTAGCTGAAAGTCCTAAGGCTTTTCTGTGCCTGTAAGGTTTCTCTGCCTAAAAGGTAGCAGGTTGAGAACATAGGAAGTGACCTGGAGTCCATGTCTGAAGATTCACCAGCCTTTCTACTCATTTGGATTTTAAAATGAAAGTGGTGAACGTTGGCATTTATAAAAACTAACCTTTTGCTTATGGATCTTAAAACAAACTTTGCAACTCTGTTCTTTTGGTTACACGGTATACATGCTTAGAAAGAGCTGTGCCACATCTTCACATCAAAATAAAAGTTTGCCAAAGCATTCATGTGTCATAGGTCATTATTTTTGCAGAGAAAGTTCCACCAACTGTTTTGAGAGAAGCAAGAATTTATCACCCCTCCCAAGCTTCTCCTTAACTTCATTTACCTTAAAAAACAAAAGTCCTATTAGGCAAACTATAATTGCCTAAAATAAAACTGGCAAGGCACAGATGAGTGTGGAAATGATTAGGAGGAAGCAAAAGGCAATGTCACCAGGCTGTGCTGTTACCTAAGCAGCCTCGGTTGAGTAACCTTTCATTGCGGAAGGGGTAATGCTAACTTTTATCAGTAGGATTTCATGAAAAATACACAGAAAAACAATCACCAAGGTACCCTATATGTTAAAAATACTTTGTTTCATTTTAGAGCTAGTTGAGCTTCAGTAGTGAATAGAGCTTGTTTTTATTTTATATATGTTTTGTAGTACAATTTTAAAATCTGACTGTTTTGAATCTAGGAGCTGTCTCATCTTATGCATTGGAACTCAATTTGACAGATTCAGAAAAAGCCACTTGTCTTTATGCAAAATGGCAGATGAATTTCACAATACGCTATGAGACTACCGGCAAAACGTTTGTAAGTATTTTTCTTTCTCGTTGAGTTTTATAGTAGGAACTTAGTTCTCTTTTTTATCCTTTATATATATTTGTACAAACAAGATTTCACATGTTAACTGATTTTAACACTTAATTTCTGTGTTTTTTTCCTACATACACACTTGAAGCTACTCTGTTTACTGTTGGAATGAATATTTTAATTCATTGGTTCTTTGGAGTTTTACTTGTGGTTGGTAAGGGTAAATAATTTGAGGACAAATGGCGTTCAGGTCTAACTACTTCTGTCATGTTTTTATTAGGTACTAACCTCAAAGCTTACCCTTTTTTAATAGCTTGCTATTAAAATCTCCTTTGGGGCTGGTGGGGTTCTCTCAATCCTCTTGTCTTCTTAAACAGAAGCTCAGGCCAGTTTTCCTTTTCCTTATAAACATAGAATTTGTCCAGAGGACTGGTATGTAGCTGAAGAATCTGAGACTTGCTTTACACAGTGAACCAGGCAAAGGCAGCCTGGCCATGAGGATTGTGTGATGTAGACTTAGGCAACACAGCCTGTGTAAATGCTTGGCGCTCATTTCTGCCTGTTTGTACCTTACCCCTGAACTTCTTTTTTTTTTTTTAGAAAACTGTAACCATTTCAGACCTTGGCACTGTAACATATAATGGAAGCAGCTGTGTGGATGAGCAGACTGGTCCCAAAATAGCAGTGCAATTTAGATCTGGTTTTTTCTGGGTTGTGAATTTTACTGAGGAGGCAACTTCTTACTTAATTGACAGCATCTCATTTTCCTACGACACTAGTGATAACACGACATTCCCTGATGCCAAAGATAAAGGTAAAGGTAACTTTAAGAATTGGATTTGTGTTGTATTCTCTTGCTTTTTATTAATAATGGAAAATTAAATAATTTAAAAATTATCCATGTGGACACCTGTCTTCCTGACTAGGGTGGAAACTTCACAGCTTTGGGTCCTCCTTACCCCACCTATAGCACAGTGTTCAACCCAGTGATGATGTTTATTGTCATTGCTTGAGTGCTTTATACCTTGTACCAGGTTACCTAGTTATAGGTACTAGGTTATGTAGTACCCTAAGTATGTTACTGGCAGCATGTCACTTAATCCTTAATAGCAGGCCTGGGAAGCAGATGTTATCTCAATTTTACTTGTAAGGCGAATAAGACTTGGTGAGATTAAGTGACATTCCCGAAGGTCACACAAGGTAGTGTGGTGGGTGGGCTGGTGGTTGAACCAAAGTCTGTTAAGCTACAGTTCATGTAAAAATTCACTATTATTATTTATTTCATTCAATAGTGGCCACTCAGCAAATGTTGAATGAACGAGAAAATCCTTTACTAATAACTGTTTTAAATGTGTACAAGTTCAGTAACCAGAGACCAGCAGAAGTGCTTCATCTTAAATCTTTTTACCATTTAGATCAGATTTTGACCAAAAAGTAGATGATGATAAAGGTAAAATGACTAAAGTCAATATTTACTGCTATTTTGAGACAATTTCAGTTCAAAATGAACTTGGGAAAGTATTGGCAGTTAGGCCATTCTTATAACTGCTAGAACTGGAATGTGTGTTAAAATATTTTGAAGGCCTAGATAGATAATAGAGACTTTGGTTTTGTTAGGGATATAATCCTCTCCTTTCCATCCCCTCCACTGAGATTTGGTCAGCACCGTATTTGTAGAAACTTAGCATTTGTCACAGATAGTATTTCATTGTGACCCCAGAGACATAGGTGGATGGGCTTCAGTTGCCTCGACCTGGGGATGAGTGACTCATTCGGATTTATAGATATCAAAAATCGTATTTTAAAGACCCAGAAGTGAGTGAGCTCATGTAAAACTTGGGAAGTATCTCAGACTGAGACTCGGAGATCAAATACGAGCTTTCTATTTGCTAATATCTTAGTTTGAGAGGCTAACTAAAGCAAATTTATTATCGGATATCTTACATATTTAGCTTTGTACCCTTCCTTGTCTTTCAGAACTGGTATAAGATTTGCCCCTTGCTTTCAAGGAGCTTAAAAACTACTTGGGGAAACAAAGGGAAACTGTTTTCCCAAATTATATGGAAATACTAGACAGCATTGAGATTAGTGTGAATTTGTAGTTACTGTTGTTGTTCGTGGTTTTGTTTTGGGCAGGTGGAGGATGTTTATGGATCTCTTCTGGCGACATGAGGAAAGCTCTAGACCCTCTGTCTCTCAAAGTACAGCGTAAACTTTGCATGTGCTATGTAGTCCCTTTAGCCCATCTAAGGATGCCTGTGGTCAGGAGTGCCTGATTTCAGTGTTCTCACAAATGGTCCTGATTAGAAGCAGAGAGAAAGGAGAGGTCATTGTGGGTTGGAGGAGTGAGAAAGCTTCGTGGTAGAATTTGAGTGAGTGGAGAATTTGGACCAGAGTATTTCCAGCAGGGGGAAGCAGAGTATGTGCAGCAGTAATTGGAGAGCTGCCTGATTAAAATAGAGGCCATGTGTGTGATAGAAGGAAAAGCATTGCTAGGTGCAATGGGTACAAGTTATGGGGGGCTCTTGGAAGCCAAGGAAAGGCATTTAGCTTGATGGCGTAGGCACTGGGGGACCATCTTAGGTTTTTAAGCAGGAGAATAATACAAGAAAAGCAGAGACAATAGTTCATAAAGACTGTTCTGCATGATTAATTTGGAAGTGAGGAGACTGCAGGCAGAGATGCCAGTTTAGGAGGCCATTACAGTAATCAACGGCTGATGTAATGAGGGCCTGGACCCAGAGGGTGGCAGTAAAAGGGGGTGGGGCTTAATCTGATCTGAGTGGAAAAACTACAGGACTCTAAAATGTTAACACCTATCTCTCCTCCTCCCTTTTATTTTAAATAAGGGGAGGATGTAATTTTTTATTACTAGTTTCTATGTAAAAAGGTATTTGAAACTATTTGGAATTTAAAATGGCTTCTTTAAATGGACTGTTAGTTCTTTTTGAAATAATTTAGTGTCTTATTTTTAGGTACTGATAATTCCTTTTTAAAAAAAGTTTATGATTAAAATACAGAAGAGTACAGAGAATGATATAACACACCCACATGTACCCATTACCAAAAATTTATAATTGCCATTTTTTCATATTTGCCTCATCTTTTTATATATTTAAAGAAATAAAACTTTACAGATACACTTGACATTTTCTTTGTACCCATTCCCCAGAGCCATTTTCTTCCCTGCCTCCAGAGAAGCTGCCACTCTTACAAATTTGGGGTGTAGCTGTCCTCTCTATGTGTTTATATTTGACTATACTGTGTACATGTTAATAAACAATAGTTTAAAAAAATTATATAGTTTCATAACTATATAATTGTAGTATATGTACAAATTGTTTTTGAGCTCTCTGTTTATTAGCCCATTCATGTATCTTCACCTGTGTTAACAGTGAGAAATGGTTTTGGGGAAAAATGTTCCATCCACTTCATTGGTTAAAAAAATGAATTTTCCTTTGGCCATTAGGGGGTGCCAAGGCAGTATTAGTTGGCCTCCTAGCTACATGATGGAGAGGCCCAGAGGCAGCCTATATGAAGGACCTTGAGTGCCTTCCTTCTTGCTGCTTCTCTAAAAGAAACTAAGCGATTTGGGTGGATAATTGTGATCATTGTCTTTTGAAGTTTCACTGTAGGCATTATAATAAAAACTCTGTAGAGGATGGCTGTAGCTTAGTCCTTTTATATCCTGAAGATTTCCCAAAATGGAATAGTCTTTAAATTGTCTCTAGGAGGAGGTTTCTAAAAGCTCATTTTGGTTACTATAACTTACTTTGGGATAGTAGCACACAAAGAAACATTTACTATAAAATCCTCCCCTGATCCGCTTCTCTTCCTTGTTCCATCACTAAGTCCTGTTGACTCTGCCTTAGATACGTGTCATTAATTTGGCTTCTTTGCTCTCTTCCTACTGCCCCTCACTTTTCACCTGAACCAGGTCATCAACCTTCCAGCTGGTTTCCCTCATGTGTAATTGTCTTAAATTTTTCTGCCCCTGCCTGTGTGTTATTTATTTCCAGCTTTAAAAACTCAGCTACCCTTCCATCACTAAAAAAACAAAGCCCAATCTGTCCTTAAATCCTTGGAGATGCTCTAGAGTGTGGCCATGTGCAGCTCATCTGTCCCTCCCACCCCCATCACAGCTTTCCTCTTCCTGCATTTTATGCCATGTCCTTTGTCACTTCAGGGATGGGGTTAGATAGGCAGACAGAAGAAGAAAGTCTATACAAATATATTTATATTATCACTTTTCTCTTACCTTCTTGGAAACTTATTTTGTAGGACTTATTACCGTTTCTGACCCTGTGGGATTGAAAATTCCATTGAATAACATCTTCAGATGCAATAGTTTATCAACTTTAGAAAAGAATGATGTTGTCCAGCACTACTGGGATGTTCATGTACAAGCTTTTGTCCAAAATGGCACAGTGAGCACAGAAGGTAAATACTTAAAATATGTATTTCTATACTTGGGTCATAATTTAAGATGAAAATACACACAGTAACTGTAATTGAAGTTGTTATCTGAAAGCATTTACATATTAAGACTTGTTTGTAGCTTACACTGGACTGTAAAGTTTTTATAAATAATAGCAGCTCTTATTCTTGTGGAACTTGCAGTTTTAAGTTTACAATGTACGTGTTGTGGAAAGTTCTTTGAAAGCACTTTACCTATAACATTTTCAGCTGATGAAACCTAATCCTTGTTTGAACAAATCTTCAGTAGCTTGATCATCAGCTCTTTAGCTTTTGATGATCCAAGACCAAAACTTAAAAATTGGATTCCTGTGTTTTAGTCTTAAAATTTATAAATTGATTTTGTAATTTATGTATGACGTGAGAGAAGTGTAATAATCTCTCATTCCCTAGTTCTGGAAAACTACCAACACTTTCTAAGAACTTGAGGTTGACATGGTTTATTTTGCCCTTTGTTGCTTTTAGAGTTTCTGTGTGGGAAAGATAAACCTTCAACTACAGTGGTGCCCACCAGTCCCACCACTGTGCCATCTCCTACTATGACACCCACTCCACAGGAAAAACCACAGGTTGGATCCTACTCAGTTCATAATGGCAGTCGTACTTGTCTTCTGGCTACCATGGCGCTGCAGCTGAACATCACCCATGATAAGGTATAGTTGTCTATTTTTATGGATAGTCTTTTTTTGGTGTGTATTTCCTTTCAAGTGTGGTGTGTTCTACCCAGAGGCCAAGACTGATGTTACTAGAATGATTCTGCATTAAATGGAGATCTGATGTTGACTTGTTGAGGTTCTGTTAGCTTGGAGTTACTGTAACCATGAAGAGTTACTGCCACTGCCAACGTGTTGTCTTGGCCAGCAGGAAACCTAGCAGCTTCAAGGACTCTGGGGTTTAGATTCTATTTACCATCAGTAGTAGATCACAGTACAAACAGTTGATCTTTATTTCAGTCAGTTTGAAATATAACTCCTTCACACTTTTATCTGAACCACACTGTGGGTTGATGGGAAGGAAAGTGCAGCTTTTTCTCCAGCTGTTTGATGACTCAGATCGTATAGCTACGCCCAAGGGTACGATGGCACTTCTAGTTGCAATGTTCCACTCAGGCTACAGAGGGCGTGCCAATAAACAAATCCCTCTCCCAGAGTCTGCAACTTAAGCTAGGCAGATGGCTTTTGTGTGCCATAAAAAATGTGTCTTTTCATTTGGCTCATGACTGAGGAAGCGTCCCTCTTGTTTTTGTTTTTGTAAAGTCGTCTGAATCATAGCTTGAGGCCAACTTTGTTTTGAAAATAGACACTGTAAACTTAAGTATCCAGACAAAAGGATATTTTGTTCTTCATAGAAGTTGGTCTTATTAGAGTATAAGGTTTTGCTATAGATTTTTATGGTTCATCTGTACTCCTCCCCCCACTTCTTCCCCTAAAGGTTGCTTCCATTATTAACATCAACCCCAATAAAACTAACTTCACTGGCAGCTGCCATCCTCAAACTGCTCTACTTAGGCTGAACAACAACAACATTAAGTATCTTGACTTTGTCTTTGCTGTGGTAAGTAACAAATTTTTCTAAAATTAAGTTCATTCTCTTAGAAATGCATCTGAAAGTCTAAATAGTGTGCATGTGTATATGTGTGTGTTGGGAGGATATTTAGCTCTGTTTTCAGTTTCAGCACTCCTTAATTATGAAGTGTAATCCATTGATCCCTGTTCATCTCTCAGGGTCTGTGGGCTGGACTCATATTAATGTTTACCAAAAGTGGCTATTCTGCTATTATATAGACCTTAGGGTAGGAGTAAGAAATAACCACATAAAAAAACCAGTCTAATCTACCCATATAGATAAATGTAGTAATTAAGAGTGTGTGTATAAAACATATATAAAAGATAGAAAGTAATTTCCATAATATTTTCTTCTATTTTTGGTTATAAAAGTCTGTTTGTCTCCTATAATATTTTAGGCTTTTGGAGGCTGTGTTCTTTGTAATAGTATCAGTAATAATAATAGTTACCATTTATTGGGTACTTGGTATGTACAAGGCTCTGTGTAAATACTTTACGTGCATTAAATCATTAAATCAGGATAGTTCATAATGGCAGCTTTCAGGTTTTTGTTGTTCATGCTTTGACCCCTAAACAGAAAGTTCCACGTTAAGCATATGTCTTCTCCTTGCTAGCATAAATGAATCATTGGGGACCCTTATTTTCACCTTCTCAGAAAGTTATTATCCCCATAGTTTTTTGAGGGATGTGTGTATACATGTTATAGCAAATGGGGATGGAAAAGAGGATAGCTGTTGGTGAGGGAAAGTGTTGAACCAGCTAACTCTTACTTATTGTACAAGTAGATTAAAAAACAGTTTGGCTTTTAAGTCAGGTTGCAGGGACAAAGTCTCAACATCCGATACATAAAATAGTTATGTATGTTGTTATTTGTTTCATATCTGAACTTGGTATCTTGAGTCCAAAGTCTTTTTTCTCTATGGACTATATGTAGAGTAAGTGAGGATTATATTAGGCAATTATATTTTAGAAAGGTGTACAAAGATCTTCCATTTTCCAGTATTCAGATTATTCCTCTGTTATGGTACATACATGATCCATGAATTACTATTAAAAATGTCTTCTACTTAAGCTTGTCCTCAATGCAATAAGAGCAGGCCTCCCCAGACACATTTTCTTTTGAAGTTATCTCATAGGGATTATATTATAGTCAGTAGGAATGAGGAAAGTAATATTTTAGGTTCATTCCCTTTCGAGGGATTGAGTTTGATCTTTCTAGCCATGCTAGGATCCTAAAAGGAACATGATTTCTTCTGACTCTCATGGGGAAATGTTTAATAATTATAATATTTAATTTTCCCAGGGAACTATTTTCAAAGCCAATCCAAAACAGTGACATTTTAACCATATGACAGGCACTTTGAAAAATCAGGACACACCTGCAGTATCACTGGAGTTCACATTCTGTAGGATGCTCTGGTGGGATATGAAGAAGGAGGCCTGTATTCTTAATCCACAGCTTAGTGGTAAAGATAGAAATACACGAGTAATTACTGTTTTTTGTGTAAGGCCTTGAATGCCATGCTAAGGCTTCTGAACCTGATTCTGTGGGTGAGTAGAATACTATAGAAGATGGATACAAAATGGGATGAGTGCTAGACCAGAGGAAAATACAAAGTGCTGTGGGAGTATAGAAAGGGAAGTGGTTAACTCTGGCTGGAGAGGGTCTGGAAGGTTTAACAGAAGAGATGGCATTTGAGTTGGACCTTCAGGGTGAATCAGATCTGTACCTATGGAGGTTAGTTGGGGGGTAATAAGTGGAAAAAAATATGTTATCCCTGGATAAAGGAACACCACCAAGACCAGCCAGGAGAATGAGGCATGTGGCATGTTTAGTGAAAAATCAGTATGGAATAGTAGTTGGGTCAAACTGTGGAGAGCCTTGAATGTCGAGCTAAGACGTAGCCTTGTTGGGGAGAGATGTGATAAGTTTGTCAAGTCCTTCATTATCCTTCCTCCCAAAATTTCTCTGAGTCTTTCCTCTTGCTTTCATTCTGCATTGCCTTGACCTGATTCCAGCCTACGTTACCTCTTACCTGGACTGTTCAAACAGCCTCCTAACCAGTCCGCTGCACCGGTATTCTTCTGCATCAGCTTAATCTTCCTGAACACAGCTCTTGCTCAAAAACCTTCAGTGGTTCCCTTTTGCCAGTGAGATAACATCTAAGTTCCATGGCAGGGTAGTTCAAGCCTCTTCTCCACAAACCATGCAATAAAACCTGCATACCCAGCTGTATGTTTCCTTCTTAACCATTTTTTTTGGTATCATTAATCTACAATCACATGAGGAACATTATGTTTACTTGACTCCCCCCATCACCAAGTCTCCCCCCACAAACCCCATTACAGTCACTGTCCATCAGCATAGTAAGATGCTGTAGAATCACTACTTGTCTTCTCTGTGTTGCACAGCCCTCCCCTGCCCCACCCCACATTATATATGCTAATCGTAATGCCCCCTTTCTTTACCCCCCCTTATCCCTCCTTTCCCATCTGTCCTCCCCAGTCCCTTTCCCTTTGGTAACTGTTAGTCCATTCTTCGGTTCTGTGATTCTGCTGCTGTTTTGTTCCTTCAGTTTCTTCTTTGTTCTTATAATCCACATATGAGTGAAATCATTTGGTACTTGTCTTTCTCCACCTGACTTATTTCACTGAGCACAATACCCTCTAGCTCCATCCATGTTGTTGCAAATGGTAGGATTTGTTTTCTTCTTATGGCTGAATAATATTCCATTGTGTATATGTACCACATCTTCTTTATCCATTCATCTACTGATGGACACTTAGGTTGCTTCCATTTCTTGGCTATTGTAAATAGTGCTGCGATAAACATAGGGGTGCATCTGTCTTTTTCAAACTGGGCTGCTGCATTCTTAGGGTAAATTCCTAGAAGTGGGATTCCTGAGTCAAATGGTATTTCTATTTTGAGTTTCTTGAGGAACCTCCATACTGCTTTCCACAATGGTTGAACTAATTTACATTCCCACCAGCAGTGTAGGAGGGTTCCCCTTTCTCCACAACCTCGCCAACATTTGTTGTTGTTTGTCTTTTGGTTAGTGGCGATCCTTACTGGTGTGAGGTGACATCTCATTGTGGTTTTAATTTGCATTTCTCTGATGACTAGCGATGTGGAGCATCTTTTCATGTGTCTGTTGGCCATCTGAATTTCTTCTTTAGAGAACTGTCTGTTCAGCTCCTCTGCTCATTTCTTAATTGGATTATTTGCTTTTTGTTTGTTGAGGTGTGTGAGCTCTTTATGTGTTTTGGATGTCAACCCTTTATTGGATCTGTCATTTATGAATATATTCTCCCATACTGTAGGATGCCTTTTTGTTCTTCTGATGGTGTCCTTTGCTGTAAAGAAGCTTTTCAGCTTGATATAGTCCCACTTGTTCATTTTTGCTTTTGTTTCCCTTGCCCGGGGAGATATGTTCATGAAGAAATCACACACGTTTATGTCCAAGAGATTTTTGCCTATGTTTTTTTCTAAGAGTTTTATGGTTTCATGGCTTACATTTAGGTCTTCAATCCATTTTTAATTTACTTTTGTGTATGGGGTTAGACAATAGTCCAGTTTCATTCTCTTACATGTAGTTGTCCAGTTTTGCCAACACCAGCTGTTGAAGAGGCTGTCATTTTCCATTGTATGTCCATGGCTCCTTTATCATATATTAATTGACCATATATGTTTGGGTTAATGTCTGGAGTCTTTATTCTGTTCCACTGGTCTGTGCGTCTGTTCTTGTGCCAGTACCAAATTGTCTTGATTACTGTGGCTTTGTAGTAGAGCTTGAAGTTGGGGAGTGAGATCCCCCCCACTTTATTCTTCCTTCTCAGGATTGCTTTGGCTATTCGGGATCTTTGGTGGTTCCATATGAATTTTAGAAGTATTTGTTCCAATTCTTGAAGAATGCTATTGGTAATTTGATAGGGATTGCATTGAATCTGTAGATTGCTTTAGGCAGGATGGCCATTTTGACAATATTAATTCTTCCAAGCCAAGAGCATGGGATGAGTTTCCATTTGTTAGTGTCCTCTTTAATTTCTCTTAAGAGTGTCTTGTAGTTTTCAGGGTATAGGTCTTTCACTTCCTTTGTTAGGTTTATTCCTAGGTATTTTATTCTTTTTGATGCAATTGCGAATGGAATTGTTTTCCTGATTTCTCTTTCTGCCAGTTCGTTGTTCATGTATAGGAAAGCAGCAGATTTCTGTGTATTGCTTTTGTATCCTGCAACTTTGCTGAATTCAGATATTAGTTCTAGTAGTTTTGGAGTGGAGTCTTTAGGGTTTTTTATGTACAGTATCATGTCATCTGCAAATAGTGACAGTGTGACTTCTTCTTTACCAATCTGGATGCCTTGTATTTCTTTGTTTTGCCTGATTGCTGTGGCTAGAACCTCCGGTACTATGTTGAATGAAAGTGGGGAGAGTGGGCATCCCTGTCTTGTTCCCGATCTTAGAGGAAAAGCTTTCAGCTTCTCGCTGTTCAGTATGATGTTCGCTGTGGGTTTATCATATATGGCCTTTATTATGTTGAGGTACTTGCCCTCTATACCTATTTTGTTGAGAGTTTTTATCATGAATGGATGTTGAATTTTGTCAAATGCTTTTTCAGCATCTATGGAGATGACCATATGGTTTTTGTCCTTCTTTTTGTTTATGTGGTGGATGATGTTGATGGATTTTCGAATGTTGTACCATCCTTGGATCCCTGAAGTGAATCTCACTTGGTCATGGTGTATGATCCTCTTGATGTATTTTTGAATTCAGTTTACTAATATTTTGTTGAGTATTTTTGCATCTATATTCATCAGGGATATTGGTCTGTAATTTTCTTTTTTTGTGTTTTCTTTGCCTGGTTTTGGGTATTAGAGTGATGCTGGCTTCATAGAATGAGTCTGGGAGTATTCCGTCCTCTTCTGTTTTTTGGAAAACTTTAAGGAGAATGGGTATTAGGTCTTCACTGTATGTCTGATAAAATTCCACGGTAAATTCATCTGGCCCAGGGGTATTGCTCTTAGGTAGTTTTTTGATTACCACTTCAATTTCGTTGCTGGTAATTGGTCTGTTCAGATTTTCTGTTTCTTCCTTGGTCAGTCTTGGAAGGTTGTATTTTTCTAGGAAGTTGTCCATTTCTTCTAGGTTTTCTAGCATGTCAGCATATAGATTCTCACAGTATTCTCTAATGATCCTTTGTATTTCTGTGGGGTCTGTCGTGATTTTTCCTTTCTCATTTCTGATTCTGTTGATGTGTAAAGATTTCTCTTTTTCTCTTAATAAGTCTGGCTAGGGGCTTATCTATTTTGTTTATTTTCTCAAAGAACCAGCTCTTGGTTTCATTGATTTTTTTCTGTTGTTTTGTTCTTCACAATTTTTCTTATTTCTTCCCTGATCTTTATTATGTCCCTCCTTCTGCTGACTTTGGGCCTCATTTGTTCTTCTTTTTCCAATTTCAATAATTGTGACTTTAGACTATTCATTTGGGATTGTTCTTCCTTGTTTAAATAGGCCTGGATTGCTATATACTTTCTTTTTAGAACTGCTTTTGCTGCGTCCCACAGAAGTTGGGACTTTGCCATATGTTTCTTGATCTGTATTTTAATTTGATCATTGTTCCATTGCTTATTTAGGAGCATGTTGTTAAGCCTCCATGTGTTTGTGAGCCTTTTTGCTTTCTTTGTACAATTTATTTCTAGTTTTATACCTTTGTGTTATGAGAAGTTGGTTGGTAGAATTTCAATCTTTTTGAATTTACTGAGGCTGTTTTTGTGGCCTATTATGTGGTGTATTCTGGAAAATGTTCCATGTGCACTTGAGAAGAATGTGTTTCGTGCTGCTTTTGGGTGTAGAGTTCTGTAGATGTCTATTAGGTCCATCTGTTCTAGTGTGTTGTTCAGTGCCTCTGTGTCCTCACGTATTTTCTGTCTGGTGGATCTGTCCTTTGGAGTGAGTGGTGTGTTGAAGTCTCCTAGAATGAATGCATTGTGTTCTATTTCCTCCTTTAATTCTGTTAGTATTTGTTTCACATATGTTGGTGCTCCTGTATTGGGTGCATATATATTTATAATGGTTATATCCTCTTGTTTGACTGACCCTTTCATCATTATGTAATGTCCTTCTTTATCTCTTGTTACTTTCTTTGTTTTGAAGTCTATTTTGTCTGATACTAGTACTGCAACACCTGCTTTTTTCTCCCTATTGTTTGCATGAAATATCTTTTTCCATCCCTTGACTTTTAGGCTGTGTATGTCTTTGGGTTTGAGGTGAGTCTCTTGTAAGTAGCATATAGGTGGGTCTTGCTTTTTTATCCATTCTGTTACTCTGTATCTTTTGATTGGTGCATTCAGTCCATTTACATTTAGGGTGATTATCCATAGGTATTTACTTATTGCCATTACAGGCTTTATATTTGTGGTTACCAAAGGTTCAAGGGTAGCTTCTTTACTATCTACCTGTCTAACTTAACTCACTTGTTAAGCTGTTATAAACAAAGTCTGATGATTCTTTATTTCTCTCCTTTCTTATTCCTCCTCCTCCATACTTAATATGTTAGGTGTTTTAATCCGTGATATTTTGTGTTTCCTTTGACTGCTTTTGTGAGTAGTTGATTTTATTTTTTGTCTTTAGTTAGTGTTTCGTTGGTCTGCTTTCTTTGCTGTGATTTTATTTTCTCTGGTGACATATATTTTGCCTTAGGAGTACTTCCATCTAGAGCAGCCCCTCTAAAATACCCTGTAGAGGTGGTTTCTGGGAGGCAAATTCCCTCAACTTTTGCTTGTGTGGTAATTGTTTAATCCCTCCTTCATATTTAAATGATAATCATGCTGGATATAGTATTCTTGGTTCAAGGCCCTTGTGTTTCATTGCATTAAATATATCATGCCATTCTCTTCTGGCCTATAAGGTTTCTGTTGAGAAGTCTGATGATAGCCTGATGGATTTTGCTTTGTGGGTGATCTTTTTTGTCTATCTGGCTGCCTTTAATACTCTGTCCTTGCCTTTGATCTTTGCTATTTTAATTATTATGTGTCTTGGTGTTTTCCTCCTTGTGTCCCTTGTGTTGGGACTTCTGTGAGCTTCCATGGTCTGAGAGACTATTTCCTCCCCCAGTTTGGGGAAGTTTTCAGCAATTATTTCTTCAAATACACTTTCTATCCCTTTTTCTCTCTCTTCTTCTTCTGGTAGTCCTATAATATGAATATTGTTCCATTTGGATTGGTCACACAGTTCTCTTAGTATTCTTTCATTCCTGGAGATCCTTTTGTCTCTCTCTGCCTTAGCTTCTCTGTGTTCCTGTTCTCTGGTTTCTGTTCCATTAACAGCCTCTTGCATCTCATCCAGTCTGCTCTTAAGTACTTCCAGAGATTGTTTTATTTCTGTATTCTCCCTCCCAACTTTATTTAGCTTTTGCCTATTTCTCTGCAGGTCCATCTGCATGGTTATGACCTTTATTTTGAATTCTTTTTCAGAAAGATTGGTTAAATCTATCTCCCCATGCTCCCTCACAGGGGTTGTCGGGATTATTCCTGACTGGATCAAATTCTTCTGCCTTTTTATGGTGATAGAGGTAGTCGTGGGCATTTGGCGTGTGTGTTAGCTTGGAGAACAAAGTGCCTTCCTGCTTCCTGGTCATCTTGCCCACCTCACTGCCTCTGCCAGTTACCCGCACACAGGGAGTAGCATCTGGTTTTATTTCCTGAGCTGCCATGGGTGGGGCCACCAGCGGAGCAGCCCAGAGCCCTGTGGGGAGTTGCAGGCGAGCTGGATGTGCTCTCCTGTGAGTATGGCGACCTCTAGCACCTTGTCTCAGGCAGCTGTGCGCCGGCGGGGCCTCTGAATCTGGCCCCAGCGGCTGTGGAGGAGGCTGTGGGTGGTTGCTGTGGATGTGGCCACTCTCAGGCTGCTCCCCTGCTATGGCGGTGCCGCGCCAGAGGGAGAATGGATGGGAGGCTGTTTATCACAATGAGGCGCTTCAGAGCTACACTGCCTCCCAGAGGGCTGGAGCACCTGGAGTTCCCCGGGATTCCCAGCTGCTGGGCTGAGTGTTCTGGGATGCTTCCATCCAGCTGTGAGGCCCCTGTCTCTTTAAGACTTTCAAAAGGCGCTCACTTTTCTTTTGTCTCAGGGTTGCCAGCTGTGGGAACCTGCTCGCAGGTTTTACTGTTCCGTTTCCCTAGTATCCAGTACCCATACAATGTGTTTCTGTGCTCCCAGTGTGGATGACTAGGGCTGGGTATTTAGCAGTCCTGGGCTCCCACTCCCTCCCTGCTCCGATTCCTCTCCTCCTGCCACAGAGCTTGGGTGGGGGGTGTGCTCGGGTTCTGCTGGGCCGCAGCTTGTGTCTTACCCCCCTTCATGAGGTGCTGAGTTCTAGCAGGTGTAGGTGTAGCCTGGCTGTTGTACTGTGTCCTCTGGTCTCTCTTTTAGGAATAGTTGTATTTGTTGTGTTTTTAAAAATATATATGGTTTTGGCAGGAGATTTCTGCTGCCCTCCTCACGCCACCATCTTGGCTCCTCCCCCTCTTAACCTTTTTATGAATCTCATGCTTCCCTGCGCATGTTCCCTGTGCACATCTGGTGAGATGGAAGAGTTGCAGCAGTAACCAGTACATAAGCTTTGCATCCAGACTTCTAGGTTCACATCCCAGCTAATTGCCTACCAGCCATGTAGCCTTGGGCGAAGTTAACTAACAGCTCCATAGTTCGATTACCCCATCCCAGAATGGGGTGCTGTAATTCAGTAAAGCCTTGTGTAAAGTTTTAAGAACAGTGCTTGGCACTTGGTAAGTTCACAAATGCTAGCATGCCTGTGATTATGCTTATGTTCTGGCTACTTAATACTGTTGCCTTGTCAAATACCCTTTTCTATTTGCTTCCTAATTGAATCCTACCCAGTTCAAAGGGCCTATCCCTAAAGCTTGTATTACTTTTGCTCCTCCCCTAGATGGAAGTAATTTATCTCCTTTTAAGTTTCATAACTTACCACTTTCTTTTTTGTAATGATTATTTATTTATGTATTTATCTTATTTTCCCTGGCAGGTTGCAAACACATTGAGGACAGGATCCAAGTCTGCTTTATTTTGCCAGCTCCGTGGAACACTTAGATATGTTACCTTGAACATACTAAGCACTGAAATAATTAGAATGACTGGCTGATCAGATGAGTGCTTCAGAAGAATAGTTGCAGCAAAGGAAAGATCAGAGCTAGATAGGTTGAAAGGCCAGGAGTCTGGTTAAGAGGCTGTCGTGATTCAGGCTAGAGGAGGTGTGGGCTCAGCAAGTGACAGGAGGAATAAAACAGAGAGAATGAATTGTCAAGTGTCTAAGAACCCCTTGATTACACCTTCGGTCCAAGGATTGGAAACAAACTGCAGAGGAAACAGGGTTCCTGTCATATTTTGAGTTCTCTTTACTTGGTTGCACTTTGATCTACTGGCCCTAATTTGTCTAATCCATGTTTTTTTCTTCTGGGTAACACTATTAGATTGCTTTTCCTCTGTAGATATTAACTGTGTGATGTGTCGGTTAACTGGAAGTTCTTTCTCAAATAGAAAAATGAAAACCGATTCTACCTGAAGGAAGTGAATTTCAGCATGTATTTGGTTAATGGCTCTGGTAAGCAAAGCACTGGTCTTGGGGGAAAGAGTGTGGGAAGAAGGAAGTGGAAACATAATGGTCATGTCATAAGTAGTGCCTTATCTAATGGAACAGAAGATGCCATGTGACAATTGTACCTTCACCACAACTTAAAACAGTAACTTAGAACTATATGTTCTACCTTTTATATTATCCTATGTTTTTAAAGTATGGCAGATGATACTTAAGAATGTGACTGATGATTAGACTGTAGAAACACCTATGGAAAGATAGGAAACCTAGTGATTCTAAGAATTGCATTTTGTGGGTTGACTCTGTACCCCAACCTGCCATACTTGACTGAAGAATTCTGAGGACTGTCCCATTTTTAACATTGGTAGGATAAGAATTTACTAACATGTTCTTTTCTTTAAAGTTTTCAGCATTTCAAATAACAGTCTTACCTACTGGGATGCCCCACTGGGAAGTTCTTACATGTGCAACAAAGAGCAGACTGTTTCAGTGTCTGGAGGATTTCAGATAAATACCTTTGATCTAAGGGTTCAGCCTTTCAATGTGATGGAAGGAAAGTATTCTACAGGTAAGAATCAAGCAAGCTTTATTAATAATTTATGCTCTTATGTTGACTGACAGGTGGCTTTTCCTGAGGTCATGGAAATTTAAGCACTGAAATAGAGAAATACAAATTCACCTCTTGACTGTTGTGGAGTTCTAGCCTTGAGCAAGCTGTGTAACTATATTTGGCTCATCATTTTGCTCAAAGTAGATTTTTTTGTGATGTGAAAACCGCTTGCAGCAAGTTCTTAAAGCTGAAAACTGATAGAAGCTTTAAGAGCTTTGCTTAAAGTATAGACATTTTCCCCCAGGTTTTGGCACTTGGGAACAGCAGCTTAGAGCATCTTGCGTCTGCTTTCATGGGGCCATCTTCTCTCTGGAAACATTTTCATAACTGAATTAAAGCAATTTGGTCTTATTTTGTTAAGACAAAATATTGTGGTAGGCAAAGCCTCAAAATCATGGCCTGTGCTTTGGCCAGACAAAATCATCTGGAGAAGTTTTAAAAGCATGTGCCAGTGTGAATAAGGCTTTTTGAAAATCTATTCAGGGCTAATGGTGGTATTTATCAGGTTTTTTAGTGAAACCTTTGTGAAGGGGTCATTATAGTATGTTTATACAAATATGAAAGATGCATTAGGTCTTATAAGATTAAAATTTGCATGAAGAAAAAAGTACATAAAGTTCCTTAATTGACTTGTCCTTTTAAACTGATTTTGTAAAATTGAGGGTTTATGAATCACAGTTCTGCTGAGCAGAGCTATTCCAGTCATCCACATCCTTTGTGATGATTCTGTGGTTTAGAAGGAAATGTGGAAGCTATGTTTAAAAGTGAATATCTTGTGAGTCATTCAGGTGTTTCTGTGGTAGTGCTGAATACCTAGCTTGATTTGGTGAGGCCAAAATAAATTGGGCTCTTCACCCTACCATTCTTGTGACTTTGAGAGGTTAATTACACTTAAAAAGTCTCTCAAGAATTCATTTTCCCTTTTGTTAGTTTTGCTTAGGTACTTCAGTTATTCTGATCCTTTAATAGTTTTGAGTCTTTATCTAGCTCCCCTACATTATTACCCTAGTTTCAGGTCCACATTTGTGTTTTAGAATTTAAAATCATTTGCAGTGTAGTATCAGCTCAAGCCTGTATCTAGTCAGCTGTAATAGAGATCTTTCTCTAATTTGAAACTTTGGTCTTTATGCACATAGAATTAAAAATGGTGCACAAAGGAGCATACAACATTTCATACTGATAATGAATGCATAATCTATTTGGGCAGCTAGGTTTTTGACTGTGGGTTCCTATATAAATGCAACACAGTAGTAATAGTCAGCTGTATGGGAGGAGGAAGTAGACTTGTAGTAAGATAAAAGAGTGTTGATTGAATTTTACTGGATCATACTACTCTCTAAAAATAGCAAAAATAGCTCCTGAGGGCTGCCAGCCCTACCTGACCAGATTGAAAAATATACTAAACACACTCAAATTAGTAAGAGGTCCCAGTTTCTTGACTTTTGTAGGCACTAAACTCATATGCTCTTTAAGTCATGGATTTGCAAACGTTTTCTGTAAAAGGCCCAGGCAGTAAGTGTTTTAGGTTTGGAGGCCATATGGTCTCTGTCACAACTATTCAACTGCTGTTGTAGCACAAAACAACCATAGGCAGTAAACAAATGAGTATGGCCATGTTCCAATAAAACTTTATTTATGGATGCTGAAATTTGAGTTGCATATTATTAATTCTCATGTGTCACAAGATATTCTTCTTCTGTTTTTTTAACCATTTAAAAATGTGTGAAAAACATTTTTAGCTCTTAGGCTAGATTTGGCCCCATGGGCTGTAGTTTGCCAATCTGTGTTCTAAAAGATTCCAGAGCCAGCCTGGCTGTTCTAAGCTCCATGATTAAACCTTCCTGATTAGTTCTCTTCATTTCTGATAAATACTCTCCATTTTGGAGAGGACTTGGTATATACACATACGTGTATGTGTTTACTCATATATATATAAATAAGTATACTGTATATGTATTCATTTATATGAGTGACTATATATACAGACATGCACACAAAATGACAAATAAGTTTTAGGATTTTAATTCTAGAACACCATAAAACTCTGTAGCTTTATCATTAAAATATGCCTGTCTTAATTTTACTAAGAGTTAATCTTGTAAGAGCAGTTCTGATTTTGAGTCAACATCTTTTACTTTTGGACATTCTTTTTTGATTATACTCATTATTTGTTACACACTTTTTCTCACCTACAGCCCAGGAGTGTTCGCTGGATGATGACACCATTCTAATACCAATTATAGTTGGTGCTGGTCTTTCAGGCTTGATTATCGTAATAGTGATTGCTTACCTAATTGGCAGAAGAAAAAGTTATGCTGGATATCAGACTCTGTAACACTAATCCACATGTGATCTCTGTTATAAAATAATAAAGCAAGTACAAGTTCCAACATGCTATACTGTTCAATTTCAGGTATATTTAGTTGTAGTTCTGATCTTATAGCTGGTATGGTGGATTTCGACTTAAATAGAAACACCTCCAGAACAACAAACTACAAATTGGTCACATGATTTTGGTGTCCCCAATCAAAGAATTTAAAGCTGTTATTTCTACAGCAAAAGGCACATGCAAAATCACTGGATTATTTGTTCTATTTTATTGTATTGAATTAGAATTTGTGTTTTCACTTGAGATATACTGACTATGCAGTTTAGGAAAAACAGTTTTTAAAAAGATTTTTTCCTGCATGTAGTTAAATTGAGACAGCAGTGGATTTGTACTTGCTCCTTTTGCATTTTTTGTGATTTTGTTTGCAGGCTAACTTAGCTACTCTGGCATTGCTGCATGTTTGACCTACGAGAGGATATGTCAGTAGATTTGAACAGGGGCTAGGATTACTATGTTCTTAGCAGTGAATGCTTTCCTAATGCCTTTTGAATATATTTGTATTTAATGTGGCTGTATTGACAGAAGATAGAAAAGCTTTTTAAATGTTAGAATAGGTATTAATTTTACTGTTTAATCCTTTGGGGAAAAAAACCCCTGGATTTTCAGTGTTTTAAATTGCAAGATGCAAGACTATTCCAACTGGGCGCTTCTGTCCATTTACTAGGCACTTGAGAGGTAATTGCAAGGCAATGCCAATTTGGGACATTAGTCCTTTGTACCTGTAAATTGGCCTGTACATGCAGTGCTCCCATTAAATGTAGGTTTTTCTTTAGCCTTCCAGTGTCCTTGTTGGTGGTAGTGTTTTCTTTTCCTCTCCTCTCCCCTCTACTCCCCTCTCCTCTCCTCTCCTCTCCTCTCCTCTTTTTTCTTTTCTTCTTTTCTTTTCTTTCTTTTTTTTCCTTTCCTTTCCTTTCCTTTCCTTCCCCTTTCCCTTTCCCTTTCCATTTCCCTTTCCCTTTCCCTTTCCCTTTCCTTTCTTTTTCTTAAAGAAGAAATGCCAATATGAACTAGAACCTAGATATAAAAGGGAGCTTAGACTTACAAAGGAACTTGCACCTAACCCAAAAATCTTGGTCCTCTCTTTGTCCATTAAAAAGTTGTTCCTTGTTTCTAGCTTGCATCCATTGCTACAATATTTACTAATTTGGCTTTCACATTTAAATGGTTCTGTGCTAATCAAAACTTACATTATTATTGTTCATTATGGTAGAGTCATTATTAATTCATGTACTTTGTGTTCAGTTTTGTGCCCTGGGCAGATGCACCAATTATCCATTTACCGTGCACCATCTAATGTTTATATCAGAAAGCAAAACTTTTCAGCTGGATAGTTAACGTATCAAGCATTTCTTGCTGCTTCCAGATTTCTTTTTGTATTGGAATGGCTGAGGAAATACTAAAAAATTGTTAATATGCGGCCATATATGGAAGGCTCTTGTGTTTTTTTGGGGGGGTAGGTAGATTATTATGTTCCCCTCACCCCAATTCACTAGAAAATGAGATAACTGGGTTCCAAGGTAGTATTGATGTTGAATTTGGTAGTCTAGATATAAACATACACTTGCTCGCTCTCTCTCACACACACACAGAAGCAATGCATGTTAGTATGTGTATGTCTATAACTATCTTTTGAGTTGTAGTGGAGTGACGAATACTTTTTCTCCCACTCACATTTACTGTCTGTTTAGAGTAGCCTGAAAATCTTACTGGCTCAGAATCAGATTCCTGACTAGCCCCGCTCTTAAAGCTACATTGAGCTGCATTGCCAGCTTAAGGCACTTTTTAAAGATTATAAATCTTGAGTTTTAAAAATTATTTTTTACTTAAATAGTGTTTTAGTTTAAGATTGTTAACCTTATAAGAATGAATAATGCTTATAAGAATACAGGCTTTAGATGTTTTTCATTAGTCAAAACAAAGCAGCTTTTTAAAAAAAATAAGCACAAATGGGTGGCACTGGCTTAACACTGTTAATGTTTCTAAAACTTTCTACATTTAGATTATATACCTGATTTATATTAAAATACCTCTAAATTAGCACTGTTTTATAGAAAATCTGACTTCATTGAATATTTTTGTATTTTACATGGGCCAGTTTATATATTATTATTTACACTGTAGCTATATGTTCTTTGTACCTTTTGTAGTTTTCTTTGTTTTACTGGGTATATACCTTGATGGTCTAACACTATTTGGTTCTAGGTGTTTTTCATGTTTTAGCATTTATATAAAAAACTGGTCCATGTAAATACGTTCATATATTTTCTCAAATGTTTAAACCATTAGCTGATGTATGGTATTTCTCTTTAGATATTTGCCTGTCCGTTTGCTCAACATACTGCTTCTAAAACAAACAATAAAGATTCTTTTATTTCTTAAGGAAATTTGCTCACATTTTTTTCCCATTGGTTAAAGTCAAGATTTGTATACTACATTAATGGCAATTTCTTCCAAAAGGGAAAACTTCAGAAATGCTTAGAAGTAAATTATTTCCAAAATGTTCTACTAATATCTGGAAGCATGGTCCCATACATAGATTTCTACAGATGCTGGGCTGGCTACAGAATAAGAATCATCTGGGAAGCTTATTACAAAAATTCAGATTCCAGGCTCCATTCCTAGAGGATTTAACTTAGCAGGTCTGGGATGAGGCTGTGTGTGTGTGTATGTGTGTGTGTGTGTATGTACACATGTATGTGTATATTTTTAAGCACCTCACGTGAGCCTGGTGTGTAGCCAGTTAGACCAGTGATCTAGAATATTTATTTCATAGTAAAACCTTCAGACGATCTCTTTGTACATGTTTCTCAACTCCTAAATTAAGGCCAATATTTATATATAGCAGCTATACATTGCCATATAAACTGCGCTGTTGATCTGAACCAAAATAGGATTGTGTCGCTCTTTAATATCATTCTAAAATACTTGAAACTTCCAGTTTTTAGATAGCTTCCCAGTCACTTTAGTATATCACCCAAAAAAACTTAGAACCTGGGTAGAAACTTCCCTGTGGGTTACCCAATTTGCCATGTGACTGTGAATCACTCCCAACTCTGCTAATAGCTACCATGTGACTTTGGCCAAGCTGCTTAACTTCTAGGGTTTCAGTTTCTTCATCTGGGGGCTGAGGGCTTTAAAATCCTATTACTCTTACTTCTTTGAGGAATAGTTTCCATTTCAATGAGGATTTGAGTATTTTTAGAAGGAATCTGATAAGCTACTTGTTATGTATCAAAAACATAGTTTACCTACAGTATAAAATGCACCATGTAAAATTCCTTGCACTTTCAAGAGGAATTCTTTTAAGACTCAGATATTTTTCATCTCTATTTAGATATGTTAAATTGTCATGGGCTCATCTCTTTCCCACCCATCTCTTTATCTTTTACACTAGTAGCTAATTTTTCGCATCAGTAATTACCATATCTTGCTTTTGAAACTAGTATGGACATGTTTTTGGGTGGTATTGAGTAGCTTCAAGTATCTTTTTATATTCATGTGATAAACTTCAAACAATTTGACTGTAGATCTAAAAGGTATATAACAGATACCACATAAGAATGTGATTCTTAACACTGATTCTTCCAAAGAGAAATTTTAACACATTGAGTTTTTCAGAGGAATTTGTTTTATGTTTTGTTACAAATGTGTGTCTTAGCTTTCCATCTCACCAAAAATTGTATTTGAAAAATTTCTGAACAGAAAATTGAACATTAACAGTATTTTTAATCTACATGAAACTTTTCACTAAAATTTTAGTGGTCATGAAACATCTCTAAAAATATTCACTGCTTCTCTGACTATTAAACTCTTCTACAAACACACTTTTTCTTTCCCTGGAAATACTTTCAATATGGTCTAAAGTATACATTAGGCATGTAAAATCAAAATGATTTATAGAATGACATTTTCTTTTCTTCAGGATGTGATCTTAGTAAAATTACTGTTTTCTAAAATTTCTTACCATTACCTAAAAAATTTTTAAAGGTTGAATTCATAGAATTAATGGTCATTATAAATTAATACTTCACATACTAATTGAGAGCATTTTAACTAAGTGATAGCATTTAGAAAAATCTTTGTATTAGTGGAATTGCCTTTTTGATCTACTCTGGGAATATTTGTCTTACATGTAAGCCTTATTGGCAGTATTTATGAAAGTCATTTCAGTACTAGGTCAAATACCCAATTTGGGAAAGAGAGGGCCATGAATCCATTGCCAGAATAAGAAATTAATCTAATGAATTTTTTGAAAACCAAGTTATATTAAAGCCAAGGCATAATACTTCACAATACATGTCACCTAATAGTTATATGCTGGGTCATAATTTGGGAAATTGAAGGGGAGGAGCTGAGTGCTGTTAACACCATGTATTCACAAACTACATCTGGATTTTGTGATCAGCTATCTGGATCAGCTATCTGGATTTTTAACAGAACAAGAAACAAGTAAAAGAGGTGGTTAAGCAGGCAACAAAAGTCGATGTCATAAAGTCCATAAACTCCAGGATTGCATCTTGTTCTCAGTTATTGCCCCAGAGGCTAGCAAAAGCCTGGCACATTTGTTAAATGGAAGAACAAACACAATTGCCTTGCAGGCTCTTCATATTTTTGACATAATTCTAATAAGCTTGATTACCTGATTTATCAATCCCTGGTAGACTGCAAGTCAGGAAGAGAACTAGGGCAGTAAGAGGAAAGGAAATGGAGAAAAGAAGTGGTGGATCAACATCCCAGCCTTCTTCCCTCTCTGCAAATGTTAACCTTCATCTACACCTTTCTTTCCTCCTGTGGTCTCAGTAGGTCTTTTTCTTGTCAGGGCTTCTGGAATCCCATTTCTGCTGTCTCCTAGGAGACCCTGTACCATTTTGTGTCTTCAATCTGTCAATTGCTAATTGCTGTTTCCTTCACCCTGTAAACATATTTAAGTCTCTTCCACCCTGAAAATAATGCTCTCTTGACCCATGTCCCCCTTCTAACTAACTCCCTATTGCCCTCCCTTATACATTTCTTGAAACAGGTATTCTTATGTTCCCTGTCCCAGGTTCTTCATCTAACCAATCGCTTCCCATTTGCTTCTAAACCTGCAGCAGTTGGATGCATGGCCTTCACCCCCTATACTGCTAGATACAATAGACATTTCTCAGGCTTCTCTTTCACACCGTCCTCCCATGCTTTTGAAATGTTCTTCCTTGGCTTCTGTGGCATTTTCTGTCTGCCTTTTCTACTTCTTTTTCTTCCAGCTTTATGCCTCAAAATATTGGTGTTCTCACGGGTTTTGTCTCTGGTCCTCTTTTTGTTGTCTTTGCCCTTGCTGGGAAATAGCTTTGTCCCAGGTTTTAACTGCCACCCAGGTTCATCAACCACTTGGTTGGGACACATTCATCTTAAACCCAGAAAACCCAAAACCAGATGTCTCCCTCTTCCACATAGCCCCTCCCCTCCAACACAAAAATAAGGCAAGTGAAAAATTAAAACCAACACACACACACAAATAACTAAATAAAACTGGAATGCATATATTCCTCCCATTATGCCCGACCATGAATGGTGCCAGCATCTATGTAATCACTCAAGCATGGAATTCGAAGCCATTCTGTTGTCTCCTGCAACCCCATATCTGATACCTGTTTGGTCAATTCTGCTTACTAGTTGGACCTCGTCCATCCATCAGATCTGCACTTTGTTAACCCAGTTCAGGGCCATGTTGGTCATCTGCCCTCTAGCAATACAGGTGCTTCCTAACTTAGTACTTCCAGTCTTCTGTCTGCCATAACTTCTGAAACAAATATTCTCCTTCAAGTCCTACTGCACTTGTTTTTTTTGACTTTCACTATAAGGCCAAACTCCCTAGAGCACACAAGGCCCTTGTGAACTGTCCCCAGCACTCTCTTTCTGCCTCTTTTTCTCACAAAGAGTACCTCTTGATTTCCTGTTCTGTCTATGCTAGTCTGCGTTTCCCCTGAAGTACCATGCTTTCTTATCTTCCGTATTTTCATTTGTGCTGTTTCGTACACTTGGAGTACCCTCTCTCATTACCTTCGTGGTTCATTCCTGCTCATACTGAAAAACTCATGGTGTAACAAGGTTCAGCTGAGTGTGTCTCTGAAACACGTCCTGACACTGTGTTGCCTGTCCCTATCAAAGCACATTTGAAATTATAAACACTGAAGTTCATGTCTGTCTCTCACACTAGACTGAATATCTTGAGACAAACAGACCATCAGGGCCATCTTTCCCACTACTAAGTGACCCCAGAGTGCTATGCATTGAGTTTCTTAAATGTCTGCTTTGTATAGCTATTCATTTGTCATTTCGTGAATACTTCACAATCTGCCGTGTTCTAGGCACTGTGTGTCTTCAACATCCTAACAGTTTGCCTCCAAAAGCTCACAGCCTGATCATGAAGAAAAGACTGATTATATTTAGCCATTATCTTGTTAAGAAATATGAGAAGTATGTGATCATTTGATACATCTTTTATCCAAAATGACTGCAATTTGGGAGATAGTGAAAAGCATGTGATTGAGTTATTTGAAAATTGCTTGCGTGAAACTGCATTTGTTGATAATGCCAACGACTTGTTACCTTGGTGTAAAAAGCAAATGTGTGTTAGGAGGGGCTGTCATTTTAACTTAAAATTTACAGATTTGAAATTTTGTCACTGTTGTTGTTCTCAGTTGTCCTTTCTCCACATCTAGCTCAAGACTGCCATGCAGATGACCACAGCTTCCTTGTGCCCATAGTGGTGGGAGCAGCCTTGGCAGGAGTACTTATTCTACTGTTGCTGGCTTACTTTATTGGTCTCAAGCACCATCACGCTGGATATGAGCAATTTTAGAACCTGCAGTCTGATTGATGATATAAAAATACATGCACATAACAAGATTTTCTTGCATTTTAGTTTTGAAACACTTTGCTCTTTAAGATTAACATGTTGACATTTTAATTCTGAAACCTATCCCAGCATTTTGAGATAAGTCTTTATTAATAAAAACTGTTATCTTTGATCACCTAAAAATAAGAACATATTTACTGGTCCTGAAGACAAAGTTGTTAAAAGAACATCGGTGTTTTAAGGTGTGCCTTAAGAAGCCTTGACCGAATTTTGATCCTAACATAAGATGCCTTAAGCTTATGAACGTGACCATTAGAAGAATAAAATATGTAGCTGTTCTCTTCATGGAAATAATAAATATCATTTCATGCCCAGTGTTCTTCCTGATTTAAACTCATCACAGTGCCTTTGCATATGTTGCATTAAATAAATATTGATGTGGCATGAATACCCAACAGATATGCTCAAATTTGGTTTTCAGTTGAACGCCCTCAGGACCACCAGCATTTTCTAGGTTATGTGACTTCTGCTGACTTCTTAGAGTTA